CCCAAAACCCCCCGAATTCCCCCCAAATGACCCAAAACCCCCCAAATTCCCCCCAAAACCCCCCCTGGGACCTGCGTGTTGCCCCCGCTGACGTAGAGCACGGCGGGGTCGGGGGCGGCCCCCAGCAGCCGCCCCATCTCGATGTGCCCCACGCAGTGATTCACCCCCACCAGGGGCAGCGACCACAGCTGGGCCAGCGTGCGAGCCACCGTGGCTACCACGGCCAGCGGGGCTCCCATCCCTGGACCTGTCCCAAAAACACAGGGATTGACCCCAAAATTATCCATGGGAACCCCCGAAATCACTCCAAAATCACCCTGGGACCCCCCAACCACAGCTGGGCCAGCGTGCGGGCCACCGTGGCTACCACGGCCAGGGGGGCTCCCATGCCTGGACCTGCCCAAAAATGGGGTTAATTACCCCAAAAACGGGTTTAATGGCCCCAAAAATGGGATTAGTGACCTCAAAATCACCCCTAGGATCCCAAAAATCACCCCAACCACAGCTGGGCCAGCGTCCGGGCAACGGTGGCTACCACGGCCAGTGGGGCACCCATCCCTGGACCTGTCCCAAAAACACAAGGATTGACCCCAAAATTATCCATGGGAACCCCCGAAATCACCCCAAAATCACCCTGGGACCCCCCAAGTACAGCTGGGCCAGCGTGCGGGCCACCGTGGCTACCACGGCCAGGGGGGCTCCCAGGCCTGGGCCTATCCCAAAAACACAGGGATTGACCCCAAAAATATAATAATTGACCCCAAAATTATCAATGGGAACCTCAAAATCAGCCCTGGAACCCCAAAAACCACCCCAATCACAGTTGGGCCAGCGTGTGGGCCACCGTGGCTACCACGGCCAGGGGGTGTTTTTGGGGTGGTTTTGGGGTTTTTTAGGGGGTTTTGGGGGGCTGGTTTTGGGGTGTTTTAGGGGGTTTTTCGGGGTTGGTTTTGGGGTGTTTTAGGGGGTTTTTGGGTTCCTCCCCCCGGGCTGTTCTGGGGCTGTTTTTGGGGTGTTTTAGGGTGTTTTTGGGGGTCCCTCACACCCACCTTTGGTGAAGGCCACCGCGTCGAGCTCCTCCGGTGCCACCCCCGCGTCCCGGAGCGCAGCCCGGACCAGGCCCAGGAGCCGCTCCCGGTGGTGCCTCCCGGTGGGCCCGGGGGCGAACCCTGAGGGAGGGGGGGTGAAGGATCAGAACGTGACGTCACGACGCGACGTCATACGTTCGCAAGGGGGGGGAATCGTGACGTCACCGTGTCCCGGCGGGGTGACGTAGGTGGCGCGGCGGTTGCTGAGGACGGCGCCGTCCCGCACGACCCCCGCGCCCACCTTGTTGGCGGAGCCCTCCAGGCCCAGCACGGTCGGCATGACGTCACGCAGGCCTCCCCCTCGGTGAAATAATGACGTCACGGGAGCTCCCGGTTCGTCCTCCCGCCGCTCCACTCGCTCCCCGTGACGTCACTTCCGCCTGCGCTCCTTCCGCCTCCTGTCCTGTGTCACGTGACGTCAAGTTTCCGGTTCCGGCCACGCCCCCTCTCTCTCCCCTCACACGCGCCGCCCGCCGCGGGTCCGTCGAGCGCTCTCCCGGCGGCCGCCGATTGGTCGCGAGAGAGCGGGAGGCGGGACTAACCGGGAGAGCGGCGGCCGCTGATTGGTTAAACGGTAAAGGGGGGGG